TTTTAAGGGCTGAATAATATTTCACTGTACACCTACACCACATTTTCCAGGCAGGCATTTGTGCTTCTGAGCTATATCCCCGGCCCTTATGCCACATTTTCTTATCCACTATTCCTTGATGGACAGTTGGTTTACTTACAACTTTCGGTTACTGTGAATGATGCTACTGTGGAGAAGAGTGTACAATAGGATCTTTGAGTGTATGCCCAGAACCTTCCTCCTGTTACAGGCATATCCCATGCTACTCATCTTTCTGTTTCTGTACTGTGCATGCAATTGCCATGTTGCCAGTGGCCCTGGGTCATCATCTGTGGTGAGGAAACTGTATGGTGGGGGCCTGAGGATCTGATCCATGTGAGCCTCAGAAAAATGGCTCAGCAGTGTGCAGCTGAGCCTCTGGGAGCTGCGCTGCCTGCTCGGAATTAATTTTAGTGGATCCACAGGCAATACTTCTACTTCACACAAGTGAGCTATGTCTAAAACAAATACATCCTGAAGAGCAGGGCACAGTGTTCAGCACTGTGTGATTATATAATTGTGCCAGGTCCTAATTGGGAGATAGAGTTAAAGTACTTGGTGGCATTTTAATTGAGCAAGTGTAAGAACTCATAGCTTATATTTCCCATAGCTAGATTTCTAAAGTAATAAAGGACTTGAAGTCTAACAAAGGCACACAATTATGAAATAATTGGAAAGAAAAGAGATAATAATGTGGGAAACAGTTTTGTAGTTAAAGGAAAAAGAGAAATGATAATAATTAAAAATAAAAAAATCTTTTTACCAGGTTTCAACTGTCCTTCTTCTAAAGCCCTGTAGCTTGAGTATTATGGTTACTCCTTCTGCCCTGTCCCAGTACCAGATGAATCATTCTGTGTCTGGGTCACTACAGTTTCAGCAGTTATTGAGCACTTACTATGTGGTTTGCCCAAAGAATGCATCCAATTATTTTAACCTTTGTACTGATATTCTGAAGTAATTTGCATCATTTGAAGCAATCAAATACCTAATATTCACCTCTTTTTGTTTGTTAACAGAACCCAAAGTTGCCTGGATATCAACATGTTTAACTAGTTTCCCAGAGCTTATCGTTGCTAAGGTAGTTCTTTAGTCTAGTTCTAGCCAACAAGATGTAAGCAGAAGTGTGCTGTAGGTGTCTGCAAAGCTTTTTCTTTTCTGATGAATTATGATACGTAAAGCTAGATGAAAGCTCTCAATGTGTCCCAACTTCCTTCTGTCATAGACACAAATGTGATGGTTGTAGCTATAGCAGCCCTCTTGCAAACACAAGGCAATAAACCACGTGCTGAGAAATTCAGAGTCAAAAGGCAGAAGCAACCTGGGATCTGGATGCCACTGTTGGACAGCTAATCCACCTCTAGAAACTGCCCACCTCTGTACTTAGGGTTATGTGAGAACGAGAAACTATTTGTGTAAGTTACTATTTGGAAGATGGACATTAGATTGCTTGCGGCTGAAAGCATTACTAATTCCACTTTTCAGATAAGGGAACTGAAAGGCTCAGTGACTTGCCAAATCTGTATGATTTTTCAGTGATATGAAGATTTGAATATATATAGTCTGATATAGAATCTAGAGCCTGCTCGCTTAGACATGCATCACAGCCTCATTCTGTCAGGCTGTGAGGTCCACTTACGAGCTTTGCAGGAAACCTGAGGTTGCTCTTGAGCCTCCCACCTACATTGCCTTCTCAACAATGCCTGTACGATATGTCTAAAGCCAGATCTGACCCCACCTTCTTGTTTAAAATCCTTGATAATATTTTTTCGTCTAAAGCAGGGATACAGCCTCAGCCATCTTGAGAGTGGGACAGGTAATACGATGGATGGAGGAGAGCAGGTTATAAAGAAATCAACTGTGTTGGTGTTTTAGTTGTTGTTACCATGGAACAAACCGCCTCTAAAGTGTAGCCACTTAGAACAGCAAATGCTTACATCTTACATGGTTTCTGAGGGTCAGGAAGTAGCTCCACTGAGTGATTCTGCCTCAGGTCTTTGGGGAGGCTGCTGTCAAAATCTAGATGTGGGCTTGAGTCATACCAGTATGTGACTGAGCTGGATGCTGTACCTCAACCAGACTCATGCACATGGCTATTGGCTGGAGGCTTCAGTTCCTCACCACAGTGCCTTTCCACAAGCTGTCAGTTGGTTTCCAGCACAGCCAGTGACCTAAGGCAGGCAGGATCACGGTGTCCTTATTTATTTATTTATTTATTTTTTTGGTACCAGGAATCACACTCAGGACCTTGTGCTTGCCAGGTAGGTGCTGTGCTGCTGAGCCATCTCCCTGGCCCCACAGTGTCTTTATGACCTAACCTTGAAAGTGACATCACGTCACTCTCATAGTCTCTTGGTTGTGGGTTACACCAGGAAGTGAGGATCACTGGGGCTTCCCTGAAGGCTGAGGACCGCAGGGAGGTACGGAATGTTCATCCTATGTGGGATGAACAAAATAAAAATGCAGGGCAGGTAGCCTGGGAGCTGCCCTTGCAACCTTTCTGGGCCGTAGCATGGAGACGTGTAACGTCCAATTGCAATCTGTGTTGGTGCCTAACACATTTTCCATAGCAGTCTGAGGACAAGTTCAGACCAACAAAGAAGGTGATCATTTAGTATTATTTCCACAGATAAAGGAAAGTGAAGACATAGGTGACTTGAATTTATACTCATGCCGTTGTAGTTTACTGTCCAGGATAAGATATCTTTGAGAGTCAAAGGAGGTGCTGTACTAATTATACTGACATAGTGATCATAATTTAGGATGGACTCAGGCACACTGGGATGTATAATGACCACCCACATGAAATCTTCCCACACCTTTCCTTCCTATCCATCTCTGAGTGTTAGGGACACCCCAGAGCACTCACGCTGTCCAAGCCCACGCACACTGCTAAAGTCGTTGCCACTTGTACCCCCTGTTCATCTCATCGCCTCCTCTTCCCACATCCCTGCTTCCTCTTGGACTTCAAATCCCAGAGTAAGTGTCACTTCTACTGTCTTTGCCTCCCCCTTCCTTCCCAGGTACTCAGTCTCTCACTATGGTTCCTTCCCAGGGTACTCACTCTGTCACTAGGGTTCCTTCCCAGAGTACTCACTCTCTCACTAGGGTTCCTTCCCAGGTACTCACTCTCTCACTAGGGTTCCTTCCCAGAGTACTCACTCTGTCACTGGGGTTCCTTCCCAGGGTACTCACTCTCTCACTATGGTTCCTTCCCAGGGTACTCACTCTCTCACTATGGTTCCTTTCCAGGGTACTCACTCTCTCACTGGGATTCCTTCCCAGGGTACTCACTCTGTCACTAGGGTTCCTTCCCAGGGTACTCACTCTCTCACTGGGGTTCCTTTCCAGGTTACTCACTCTGTCACTA